AGGCACAGCGATGAGAGTCGCATCAATGCTCAAATCAACGGGCAAGGAAGGGGTCCCATTTCTCGGGTTCTGGGCCGTTTCTCATGGTTCTTCCTTCTTTCGTGTACCACTCACCATCCCTAGGTTAATTTGAAATGGGTTGCTTTTTCATCGTGAATTCGTCCTTTAAGAACCAATGGGATTCACATAGGCACAGAACACTGGTTCCCTTACACGATGGATGCAGATGCGATTTTGAGGGTTTTCAGAAGGCTTTATCATTATGGAAGATTAAACATCACATCACAGTGGTTTTTGCAAATGCTCAAGTGCCTGAAGAATTGTGGCCAAAAATTGGTTGATTCCTCTCGAAGTCGGTAGAGGTTAACAAATTGGCATGGTAGAGCTCTTAAAAGGATATTTGCAGGATTCAAGGTAGAATAATTAGAAAGAGGAGAGTGTCTAAAAGAATGAGAGCAATGTTGGGGAAACGCCCAAAGATATATGGATATGTGTTGATCAGGTTCACGCTTCGGTCTGCTAAGTGGTACGTCTCTTTGCGCGCTCAGGCAAACGTGGGCTTCCTGACCGACACCTATGGGTGTGTAATTGGAAAAGCGGTGTAATGTGTGAAAGAGCGTATGTTCTATAGAAGTTTTTGTGAGTGATAAAATTCTCTGATCCTTCATCACTCGTATTCTTCATTTTTTTAAAGTTTGTCACTAAATCTGTTTTGTCATTTGTGGTAGATCGTACGAACGTTTATCCATTTTTTCTTCTCTTTATGTTGTTTTCTTCTTGGGATTTGGTCCTCCTCCTTATATCAATATTTTTTCAAAATCAATCGTTCAGATTTTTTCAATGCCTGTACTGAATGCGGCCGGTCAGCCGCTGCCATTATCAGCGCTCTCCGGGCTTTTCAATGACGTTATCAAACAAAGTCGCGAAAGACAACCGCATGCTATCGGCATTGTTTCATCGGATAAGCGTGATCGTTGGGCAGAGATCTACGAGCAACTCGAAGGTATGCGCTGCATAAGATTTTTCGATGAAATTCACTTTACAATTGACAAATATCGCTGAAATGCTAGGATACTGATAGATACAACAATATTTCTGAATTCCTTGTTTTCTAGGAAACCCTACGAACTCGTCACATCTTTCAACAATCGAAGATGCATTGTTTGTTGTATGTCTCGATCAAGGAGTCCGAACCTGAGAAAGGCTACAGCGAGAAAGATGAGCAGGCTAGACAGGCGAGTTTTTGGAAATGCGACAAAATCGTGGTTGTATAGCAAAATAATCCTGGTTAGGTAACTAATGCTCTACATTGAAACACTTAGCTATGGTCTAAAGAAAGAATCATCTAATTTATCTATAAATTCATCTACACCGTCAAATGAATTTGTTTAGTTGTTGAGTAATTTGGTTTGATCTTTACTATTGACATTTCAGTGTCTGCATGGAGGTGGAACGATGAGCAACTCGTGCAATAGATGGTTCGATAAAACTCTTCAGGTATGAAGCAAGGATAAACATTGGCTTCCATACCTCTCTCTGGTAGTTTTGTAAAAAAAAACTGGCCGGTCTGTGGCGCGCGCGGCTGCTGTGCGTCATCTCTCTGGATATGACATTTTAGAGAATTCGAATGATTAGGAATTTCGTAAAGTTATCATATAATCACTTTGATAGTTTATAAAACGGTGATACTCATACAGTTCACTTCCAGTGATTGTGATCTAAGGGATTCTAAAGAGTAAAGACTCAATCATTTGATTCATTTCGAGGGCGAAGGTGGGGCCTCAACAGCACACACGTGGTCCACAAATCAAAAGCCTTTGTGCTTTTTGGCCAAATTGAGTTTTCCATCTTCATTTCATCGGTCGATGACCGATTAATTGGGAGTGTTCGCCTGAGAGAATATAACACCGACTTGTGCATTGGGTGCTCGCCCCTCGCCAAAATTCACTTTGAAGACCAAACACTTCTCCAACTGGCACGGCGATTTCTAATGGAAGTTGAGTGCGTGGCGCATCACAGTATGGATCGTCGCCAAACGGTCCACTATCTTTTTCAATAATTGAGATAGTCATTGTTGGGAACTTCAACTAACTATGAGTTTGGAAACTATGTTGCGGACTCCAGAATACCTACTTTGTACGAAATTCCGTAATATTTATTTCATCAACAAGTCGAATGTTCATCAATTTTGGGGCATTATGTGGAAGTGACGAACAAATTTTGAC